TCCCCCCCCCCCCCCCCTCTCTTTTCAGCACTTTTTTGTTTTTTGTTTTTTTCCCACCAATGCCATCTGGCTTGAGTGTGACGGGTGCCTGTAGCGGGCTTGGCGTGGGGGACTCGTGGCTTGGTTGCGGGTTGGGCAGGCCAGTTGGATGTTCTAGCACCTTGGGGATGTGACTGCTGTTGCAGCCCCTGGGCTTCGTAGGCACCTTCCCTCCACTAGCGACTTGGGCGTTAATAAGATATTTATTGGGCAACTCTTTCTCCACAGGGTCACTGAGTTTGCAGATCATCTTCACGAGCATTTCATTCATCCTTCTGTGGTGGAGAATGGAGCTTATAAAGTTCCAATGGTGAGTTCTTTTGTGAAGGAAAGCTTTCAAAATGATCCTTGCAGAACAGGCAACTTATTTTAAATAAAGTGTACAGTAATTTTTGTGCTTTGGATCCTTTATTAACCTGTTTTACAATTAATCATAACAATTACAATTTCCTCAAATGTGATTGGTGCATAAACTGCTGTATTTCGCTCTAATTAATCTGCAAAGCTGTAATCGGACACCTGAAATCGGACAGTTGCATGAGCCAATCATTTTAAGTCCTCTCCACTAAATCCACCAATCACAACATTGATTACAATCACTATAGCAACCAATTCAAGAGACTGACTTTGTAAAATAGTGGAGGTTTTGTCTCTGGTGACTGTTTTGAAAGAAACTTAACAGCCATTTTGCAAGCTATTCTCTATAGTTTTAATTATGATATTTAAAAATGACTATTAAACGCTCTTTTTCAAATGAATTTTTGCTTTTGTGGGAAATTGTCATTATTATGATTAATTGGGAACAGGACATCGTGTCGTCCAATTCAGTCTGTAATCACACTCGTGATTAACAAATCAGACTCCCGCTTTGCGGTTGTCCGATTTTGTTAATCACTTGTGTACAGACCAAATTGGACTCCACTCAGTCCTATTACCATTATTAATCGTATCTATAACAAAATTCTTGATTGTTATTGGTTCTCTGTGCACCTATTTGTCATGTAATCGGCGCATGATCACATGGGTGTCCAATTACAGGTATCCAATTTGAACTTTTTGTAATTGGATACCTGTAAGTGGATACCCACGTGATTTGCATGTCAATTACATGCGCTTTAATGGCTTCCTTCACGATGTTTCCTACAGTTTTCAAAACTTATGAAAAGCGAAACTGACGTTTTCGCTCAAAAGAAATTCTTAAAAGACATTTTTAATTCCGAAATTTGTTATAGATACAATTAATTAGTAATTATTGTACCTCGTGGCATACAATTCAGGGAGTAATCATGGTCGTAGCTTGAAATCGGCCTCACACTTCGCGCTCGTCCAATTTTGAAATTACTTGTGCGATTACTTCCTGAATTGCACTCCACTCAGTCCAATCACTATTACGTAAGAAACCAAGACTGGTCTAAAACCCTTGTTCCAGAGTCCATCACACTAATCCTTACCCCACTGTGTCCACCTACAATAGCACATTCGTAAAATATAAATTTGTGGCAGTAAAGAGTGTTTCCACAAAAAAAGAATTCTCTGACACCAAGTAATACTGATGTGACTAAAACCCATACTAACAGCCTGGGGTTAAAGTTAGACGGTTAATTAAAAGTAATTTTTCTTTTTGTAAACGAGTAAGAACTTATAAGAGAAGAAAGAGAATAAAGTGCAGACATGCAGTCACAATACTAAATGGTTCCCTTTTCACTCAGGCCCCAGGTTATAGTGCTGAAATGAAGAAGGAATCTTTAGATGCATTTGAGTTTCCCAATGGTTCTGAATGGCAGAAGCTCATTAATGATGGGCGTTTCAAGATTTGAATACAATAATTTTGATAGGAAAGTAAATTGTAGAAATATTTTTTATTAGACAGTATAGAAATTAAAGTAGATGTCAATATGCAGACTGATCAGTGGATTCTCAACCACTAATTCAGTAGTGAAGGTCACATTTTACATTCACGTTTGCTGTGCTACGCTATGGAAGTCAACTGCAATTAATTTTGAAGTTATGACTTACTGTAGGTATTCTATGTTTAATTCTATATTATAGCATAGTGCTTGCACTGGTTCTACCTAATTCCAATTGAGCCATCATAGTATGTAACATGACGAGTGTAGTTTCATTTTAGCTTCAGAATTTCTGTCGAGTTTAACTGCAAGTTCCTTTTGTTAAATTTTCTGCGATGCGATAATCATTTGGAAATAATCCAAACAAACCCTACTTCCTTTGACTTTCACCAAGCTAAGATGTTTACTGAAACTTGAGTATTTTGACTTTGTTTGTCTACATTGTCATCAAGTATTTTTGACTTGCTGACTTATTAATTACATGTAATTCAAAGAAGCCAATTTTTCATTAACAATTTAAGAAACTGGATGAAGCATTTAGTTCAACCATCGCTTAACCCTTTGAGTCCCAATTATGCATATATGCGTAATTAATGGTCATGCTCTTTGTACCACTTTTGACATCATCAATTTAAATGTCATTAGCTATTCTTGATAAGCAGATAGTAGTACTAGGCTAGGCTAAGTCCAAATCTTGGCTTATGTGCATGCCCAGAATTGAAATGTTGCTCAATTTTGTACCTACTCCTTGAAAAATCTCTCCTTTTAGTAAGGAGCTAAAAAACCTGACTAAATGGTCAAAAACAGTATTTTTTGGCGAAAGTTTGGTATTCAAAGGGTTAACTGATTGTGGCGTGTTTTTAACCAGTCAACTGGATCCTCTGTTTTCCTTTACTGTGCATTGTGAGAACTTTGTAGTCAGTCGCAAATAAAACATGTTTTGCAGTTATGAAAGAATTGGTTCATGCTTTTAGCTGTGCGTATATCATGTTATGGATGCACTTGGGAAGTTTGCAGAGCACTCAAGGAGTTAAAGGTGCTCTCAGCTGCGCCCCAAGCAACTCTTACATTTCTTTGGTGCTCTCCATGACTTGATATATGCACGCTAACCACGAACAAATTCTTTACTTGTATTAATTATTTGCAATTAAATAATTAATTATTTTGAGTACTATTACCAATTAATTATTAATAGTCAATACACATAAAGAGCTAGTAGCTAGAAGTCTACTGGCATTTAGATAGACTTGCCACAAGCAACCTTATTAGTTAATTTCGGAGGGCTTTTGCATCTAAGATGACTGGTTTTTTTTTTAAATAAAGTTCACAATAATCAACATTACGATATGATACAATACAATACATTACTTACAGTACTGCTCACTTACTTACTTAAGACATCTAAGATGACTTTGGTGACATGTTTTCAGGGCATTGTTTTAGAGTTAGATTAATATATCTGTTTGACCATAGTCAACATATCACCTTGGAATCTTTTGAACTGGATAGCAATCTATTAGGAATCACTTCCATGAGAAAGTGCATGGCATTGGAGAAATTGAAAATTTATGAAAATTTATGAGATAAATTTATGAGATAAATTTATGAGATAAATGCAGTTAATTGGTGGTTTAAAATCCATGGCATGTACTTTTGGGTAGGAAATGTGTTAGTTTTGTAGAGTCTTTGCATCAAATGTGACAAAGGGGAGCATGTTTTCGGGGTTGTTTATAGAGTTAAATATATATTAGCTGTGTGACTATGTTCACCATAACCTTGGAACTGGATAGCACTTCCAGGGGAAAGTCCATATTGTAAAAATCGAGAATCTGTTTTTTAGATTAGCATTTTTAAGGATTTTAAGGATTTAAGAAAAAAAAAAAGTATGCCCAAGCTGAAAGAGATTGAAATTCTCCTTAGCTTAGTGAAATCTTGACATACATTTTTTCTCATGTTGGCTATGAGAATTTGGCAGTACGTCAAAACAACAACTCCTTTAAAAGTTGATGAACATCTTTCTTCTCATCACCTTTTTGCTCGGCAGTATATTGATATTGTAAAGAGAAGTTAGATTTTGATCACTCTTGGGATTGAAGGGTTAAATGATAAATTATTTTCTCAGCATGACTAAAACTACAAAATGAGATATTAGTGAATCCCATGTGGAATAAATGGTGGTAATTTTTCCACTTTAAAAACCCAAAGTGTGAGGGGCTGGACCCTCCTTGATTAGCACCTTGTAGAGAACCCCCCCCCCTCCCCCAGGCTCAGGAATTTGGCCTAATCCAAAAGAGGGTTCCAAGACAACAAAATAGGGGCCGAGTACTTCTTAGCACTGCCACAGGATTCCAGTGGATGAAAATTGACATTTTTGTCCGAGATTCAAGAAGAGAAAAGCCTTGAGTTTTTCGCTCAAAAAAATTATGCCCTCGTGGTCCATTGACCTTCCCCCTGGGACCCTGTGATCTAGAATATCTTTGTCTTTCTTTCCCCTTTTTTGCTTTTCTTTACTAAATCCTTTTCCCTTCGTTTTTATTCTTATTTTTTTTATTTTTTCCATCAATTTTAGAAGAAGTTGAAATAATTTTTAGTAGTTATATATGTGAAAGCGCCTGAAAACTTTTACAAATTGCACTTCACGGGAACTAAGATAAGGGGTGAAGTTTTAGATCACAAAGGCCTATCCCAACGAAAAATTCTGTTAAACAAAAAGGTCAGTTGAAAATTTTGAAACTTGACTTGAGATGCACTTTGCTGGTGAACGGGGTTTGCAAAATAATTTTTTTTCTTGAAAGGAGTCGATTAAACGGGAAGACAGGGAAAACTTAACTATGTACTAACACAAGTTATGTGAAACATTTGTCGAGTTTATTATCCCTTTAATTGTTTCTGAGAAACAGTAAAATACAGTTTAACTTGCAACTGGCAACTCCGGCCAAAAGCTTTTAAGAAGCTTTCAGTCATAAAGTCCAAACTTAGCACTTTGTTCTTCTCAGGTTGCCATGAAGACTATTAAAGGACCCTAGTCAGCCTCCGCCATTTTTGATGTCATCGATATTATTGATATTCTGCACAGTGAAGCGTATCTTATTGCTTTGCTGGAAGTTGTGTTCCTGAAAGTATGTTTAATTATGTTTAGTACTTACACAGTGATTTCCTTCGTTTCGATATGCTCCCAATAAAATATAATAGCCAAACTCTCGCATGCAAACAAAACTAAAGGTGTGGCTGAAAGGTTTATAAAGAGGTACCAGCGAATTTGAAACCGAGATAAGTTCCAGCAATGCGGGCCATTTTGCCCTACGCAACCTATGCCTTTTTTTATGTGATCCCCTTTTTTGTTAATGGATTTAATGGTAGTAGATTGTTCAGCACTTACGAATACATGCGACATTGGTAACTGGTAGATGTGCTACAATAGAGCCGGTAGCTGGTTCCATGGGCCTTGGAGCTTATCGATACAGTATCGCCACTGTTAATGGGCTGTCCGTCCAACTTTCCCATGGCATGGATGTAAAAATACATGTAGCTTGAACAGCCAGACCACGCCGCTGAAGTCATAACAGTACCCTTGCAGGTACCATACCAGCAGTAAGATGAACTACAATGCATCCAATACTTCGAGTAGCTGCCTGAAGGATAGGACGAGCGCAAGGCAATCATGTCACCACTATTGAGGATGGGGTATCGGTTGCCTTAAGGAGTAAACATAGAACAGATCACAATTATTTTTTTTTCTGGATGTAGCTCTTAAAATATACGCGACTGCGTAGTTTTCTTTCTAGAAAATGTCAGTTAATGAAGCAAAAAAACAGTATACAGACTATTGCCGTAAAAAGTATAATTGTGTCAAATGAAACTGGGTCTTTCAATATTCCTGTAATATTGTATGAGATTTCATGTTAATTTAATCGACATACTTTAAACATCCCAAGCCCAGCCGTAGACACTGCAGATGACAAGCGTGTTACTCGTGCTTCGCGTATTACGTTTTGTTCTTCGATTCAAAGAGCCTCCGTACCGAGCTAAAATTCGAAATTTATTTACCACGCTAGAATGGATTTTGAATACAAGAAACTGAATCATAAATTTTTACCGTTGGACAAACCAGCCCAAATCTCTTCTTTAGGACCGTAAAACTGAATTTGAGCGTTACCATTGAGCGTCAGTTGGCTGCTGGAAAGGCTGACGGACGCTGAATCCACGCCAATCGCCAAGACGAACGCCAAGAAAACGGCAACAGCGACAAACTTCATGTTCTGAATCTCGAGAAGGAGGTTTACGTTCTGCTCAGTGGAACTCCGTACGCTTTGAGGGTTGAATACCAACTGATCAAAAGCAACGTTCAACGTTTTTTTCAAGGCGGTAATTGTTTGGTTCATACGTGTGAGGCTAACAAGTTCCATGAACATGTTTCGGGCTTTTCAGAAATGTAAACCGAGCTGTCAAAGGAATGAAATGTTTAACAGACTGACTAAAACTTAATTTTTTTGTGTATGATGACGGCCACGAACGAAGTTTTTTCGCGTGGATAGTATAGCTTTTTCCCCAGTTACATAAGCAAGAAATGGACGAAAGAAATGAAAGTTGCCTTATGGCAACAAGTTTACCCATCCAGTTTCGTGAATTCCAATATTTAAGTCTAGCTAAAATTCTATTGAAAAAGAAAAGCAAAGATCTTTCCTCTTTCTTATTTATTCTTGAGGGCCGATGTCAATGCTGACAGCAAAAAAAGGAGTCAATTTGATCAAAAATAGTTACAGATACTTAACAAACAAACAAACCAGAAGACATTTTTCATGTTTGGAACTTCGCAACTTTATGACCACCGCAGGGCCAGAATTTAATTTCACGCACGCGTAGTTATCGACCCTTAGGAAAAAAACGTAAATGTAAACAACCGATTTTAGAGAAATATGTGGCACTATTACTTCTGCGATAAACTGTATAAAATCCTATAAACCTGAATAAAATGTTCGATCTGATATCGACAGTACAACTTCTCCTGATTGAAATTTCATTGTGGATCTAGATACCCGGCAGCCGGAAAATGTTTTAAAATATTACATACCCGGCAGTCTGAAATTATTCTAAAACTGAAGATCGTTGTTTAGAAATATCAAGCGATTTCAATTATAATTTTGGCTTTGTGGTTGAGGAAATTTTCGAGCTTGGGCATACTAGAAAATCTCGATGTTTCGACACTTGGAAAAAATTCGTACTCTGACTCCGATGTCAACTCTCACAGAATAATTTCTGAAGTTGACACCTTGTGAGAGCATTCGATATTTGTTCAGAAATGCGAAGCGATTCTAAATAATGTTTTGCTTTTGTTGTGGACGAATTCTCTTAGCTTCGGCATACTATAAAAACCTCGACTCACGGGCACGGTCGTTCAAAAACTAGATACCCGGCAGTCAAAAATTCATGAATAATCGAAACATTCAATATCCATAAAAATGATCATTGAAACCTTCCGAGACTATTTCAGCATTTTGATCTTTGGTCGGAAATGCCAAGCGAGTTTTTGGTTTTGCACGAATTTTACGAACTTTGGGTGACTCGGCAGTCAGAAATTCTTCCCGTTTTTCCACCAAAATTTCCATTTGAACCTGCTGAGAAGTCGGTGTAAAAATACCAAGCGATTTCCAACTTCAGGCCTTAACAATATTAATTGCCTCGGCAAAGTAGTACAAATGGCTACAAAACGCTTGAACGTTCGGTGACGAAAGTCCTCCAAAGAGAAATATGGATAACACTTCAGTTGCATGACAAAGGTTGCCCATGGTATTGGTTTTCGCGCCAAAAGGAACTTGGCGTTAGAAGCGTCTAAGTTCTAATGTGAGCTAAACTGCTTAGCGATGGAAGCGAAGCGAAGTTCTCTAAGGCCCAGTTCAGACGCCGAACTTTTCATGAGCCGTCAACGCAAGTTTATATCTGTTCACTTTAAAATGGCAAGGAAAGTCACTGTAAGTAAATTCAATTGAGTGTTTTGAAGTTGTGAGAGTTTGCTTGGTT